GCATGTCATAATTGGACACATTTACGTGTCTTGGATTTTCTAAATTTAAATGCTTTTAATAGTGAAATGTATAGTATTGTCTCACAATTACGATTATGTGGACAAAGCATTTCTAGAGAAGAAATGATTGAGAAAACTCTCTCTACATTTTCTCCTGTATTTGCTATACTTGCACAACAATACAGGAATATGAAATTTCAGAGTCATTCTAATCTCATGTCCTATCTACTTCTTGCGAAGAAGCAAAATGAGCTACTCTTGCACAATGCGGAAGCTCGTCCTATTGGAACTACAGTTCCAGAATCTCATGCATTTAATATTTCAAAGTCTAAAAAGAAATTATATAAACATGGGAAACGTGCTCATAAGTATCAGGGTAGTCATAGTCAAGACCATTTCTATCCATATGGAAAGAATAAATGTTCTACTATTAATTATAGTAGAAAACAAAAATCAGAGATGCGTTCTTGCCATAAGTGTGGAATGATTGGACATTTAGCACATGCATGGCGTACTTCAAAATATTTTATTAAAATATTCCAAGAAAATAAGAAATTGCGAGCTGAGGCTCGTGAAGTTCATACTATGGATGCATCTATGCATTCAATTGGTGTTGATGACTTAGAAGCTTATATGAATGATAGAACCTCTAATGATGAATCAAATGATGCGCTCATTGATTCTGCAACAATACATACTATCTTGCGAGATAGATGATTTTTTATTGAAAAATCTTCAACTTGGCAAACTAAAAATATGATAACCATGGCTGGAGCAAATGCGTTTTGTTTCCAAGAGGGCACAGCAATGGTAAAATTACCTGTAGGTTCCATCATAAAATGTAAACAAGCAATGTTTGTACCCTCAGCACCTCGGAGTCTGATCAGCTACCGAGATGTGCATATTGATGGTTATCACCTCTCGACCGCCACTTTAAATAAAAAAGAGGTTTTGGTTCTTGCGAAGAACCATAAAGTTGTTGAAAAAGTTTTTGCTAAAGAAAATGATTTATACCGAATTGTGATTTGGCCTTCCATTATATTTAATTTTGCATCATCTATCTCAGAGAGTCATGTTTTTCTCTGGCATAGACGATTGAGACATCCAAGATCCACATTATTTAGAAAGATCATTCCATGTATAACTGGGCACAATTTAAAGCCTACATATGTAGACTCTAGAAAATTATGTCGTGTATGTGTGCAAGGTAAAATGATTACTCGGCCTTCAATTTAGAAACTTCCACAAGAATTGCCACCAATGCTTGAAAGATTGCATGGTAATATTTGTGGTCCTATTAATCCAATATTATGACCATTTTGTTATTTTTTGGTCCTTGTTGATGCATCAGGTAAACAATCACATGTTTCATTATTATCAACTCAAAACATGGTGTTTGCCAATCTTATATCTATGCTTATTCGCTTTCGGGCACATTTTCCTGATTATCCTATAAAAACATTGCATATGGATAATGCAAAAGAATTTGCATCAAAGTCTTTTGAAGACTATTGTACTGCAACAGAAATTGAATTGACATATTGTGTTCCATATGAATATGCTCAAAATGGACTTGCAGAATCATTTATAAAGCGTATACAACTCATTACCCGGCCACTCCTCCTTCAGGCAAATCTATCTACATCTATGTGGGGTCATGCAATTTTACATGCTGCAGCATTAATATGTCTCCGCCCTTCTTCTCTTGAACTTGTTTCACCACATGAGCTCATTTCGGGTCGTGTTCCAAATGTATCTTACTTACGAATATTTGGTTGCTGTGCTTGGATTCCAATACCAAAACCTCAATAGCGTACCATTCGAGCTCATCGACAAGAAGGCATATATGTTGGTTTTGATTCACCAAGCATTCTTTGTATTGTAGATCCATCAATTGGCACATTATTACGTGCACATTTGCAAAATTGCCATTTTGAAGAAAATGTATTTCCATCTCTTCAAAGAAGAATATCCAATCAACAAAGAAATAAAGTACTCATATTTGAAGCTTTAGAAACGTTTACAATGAATCCCGATCCTAAGACATCTTTGGCAAAAACTGAAGTTACTAAGATTTTACATTTAAAACGGATCGCGGATGAAACACCCGATGGCTTCGATGATGCACCTAGAATTACAAGAGTTCCTATTAATGAGGCTCAGAATGCACCTGCTCAGATTGCAGTGCCATTGACTACAATACCTCAAGTTATAACAACAACAATTAAAAGAACTCGGGAACCAGATAAGTAACCACGTAAGAAGAAAGTTATAAAATTAACTAATTCTGGTATTATTTCTTAAGAAATTGCCATTCATCTTGCAAGACTACCAATTCATGATGATATATCCATGCATAATGTACCTTCAATTTCTATGAAAAACAATCTTGGAATTGGAAGGAATAAGAACAAGTTGAGTAAAGAATTATCTATTCTGTATTGTGTTACAGATGATATTTGGGACAAACCATCTATTACGGTAGATGAATCATTTGCATATATGATTATAGAAGCCCTTTCTTGTGAGGAAGACGATCCTGAACCTCAAACCATCGAAGAGGCGATGCGTTGCTCAGATTGGTCAAAATAGAAAACTGCTATTGAGGAGGAGTATGCCTCTTTGCGTAAGAAGAAAGTCTTTGGTCCAATTGTAGATACTCTTACATCTCGCCCTGTGGGATATAAAATGGTATTAATATGCAAGTGAGATGCTCAAGGCCAAATAACCCGCTATAAAGCTCGTCTTGTTCCTCAAGGATTTACTCAATGATTTGGCATTGATTATGAATCCACATATTCTCCAATCATGGATTCAATTATATTTCGATATATTATTGGAATGACAGTTCATGCCACCCTTGAGATGCATCTGATGGATGTAGTTACTGCATATCTATATGGTTCTCTTGATGCAAATATTTATATGAAAGTTCTACCTGGCTTAAAAACAGAAACTCCAAATCAACCCGCTCCAGGAAAATATCGTGGTATTAAATTATGTAAGGCCTTGTATGGTTTAAAACAATCTGGACGTATGTGATATCAACGTCTTCGAGATTATTTAATTACAAATAATTTTATAAGTGATCCACTAATCCCTTGTTTGTTTATCAAACAAGATAAAACTGGTTTTGTGGTCATCGCTGTATATGTTGATGATCTTAACCTAGTGGGCACTACATCTGCATGTGTTATAACTACTAACCTACTTATACGTGAATTTGAGATGAAAATGCTAGGAAAAACAACTTTCTACATTGGTCTTCAGATTATGCATCTAACAGATGCTAGCATTTTTTTCTACCAACTAACATATATTAGACGAATCTTGCAAAGATTTAATATGATTGATGCTTATCCATTGTCCACACCAATGGTTGGACATGGTCGTGATGGTCATGATCCATACCGTCCATGCGAGGAGGAGGAGGAAATATTGGGAGACCAATATCCATACCTCACAACGGTTGGAGCACTTTTATATTTAGCTACATCTACAAGACCAGATATTGCATTTGCAATTAGTGTTCTTGTAAGACATAGTGCACGTCCGACACTACGACATTGGAATGGCATCAAATATTTATTACATTATTTAAAAGATACTGAAGACTTGGAATTATACTACACAAAATCCGCAGATCCAAAATTGGTTGGATATTGTGATGTAGGATATAAATTTGATATTGCAATAGCTAAATCTCAAATAGGATATGTATTTTTAAGACATAGAGCTACAATATCATGGAAATCAGTGAAACAAACAATAACTGTAACTTCATCCAACCATGCAGAAATTATTGTCTTATATGAAGCATCTCGAGAATGTATTTGGTTGCAATCAATTGATAAATTCATTCAAACAACCTGTGGATTTTCATATGATGATTCTCCAACTATCTTGCATGAAGATAATAGTGCTTGTATTGCACAGATGCAAGTTGGTTTCATTAAAGACAACATGACAAAGTATATTGATCCAAAGTATTTTAGTTATACTCATGACTTGATTACTGATCAAGCACTTATAATTAAGAAAATTGAATCTACAAATAACCTTGCTGATCTCTTCACCAAAGCTCTTCCATTAAGCAACCATCGTCGACTTACTTATGGCATTGGTATGAGGCAACTTACTTTTCTTGAATATGAAAGTTAACAAGCTCTTTAAATAATTAAATAAAATGATGTTGTACTCTTTTTCCTTCATCTATGGTTTTGTCCTTAAATAAAATAAGATTTACCTAGATAAGATTTTAATAAGGCAACAATTCTTGATCTTGCAAGATCACAGAAAAGTATAGATCATGATTCTATACAAATTTTATATTATGTAAATATTATGATGGGCGAGGAGGAGTGTTGAGATCATTAAATGTAGCCGACTCTCTCCATAATATTTACTGTAGACTACATTAAATACCATAGCTACAGTATTTAGAGTCTAATGGAGAAGTACTGTTTATCCTCTCCTCTTTTCTCTTCTTGTATATGAGACACAACTAGATCTATAATTTTTGAGTGTGTGAAGCTCTCTCTCCTGAGAAACCCTCTTGTGTGTATGACTTACTACTACTCTTATGTGTGTATGACTTACTACTACTCTTATGTGTGTATGACTTACTATTACTCTTGTGTCTTTCTAAACATTCTCAACAAGAACTAAAACTATGCCAATGTATTCTATTATCCATCTTGGTGCAGAGCATCTGGTTTTTTTCCCTTGTATCATCAAAGTGTTAAAAATTGAATTCTACCGGGGCTTCATTATCCTTTGTGGATAATTGATTCCATTCAATGCAACCATAATCATGTAAATATTGCCGTATCCTAGATGTAGTTTGTTTTAGAGACCATTCTTTGACATTAAAATACCATTGTGTTTTTATTCAAGCCAAAGTTTCCATGGGTAACTCCTCATAACAATGTCCAAATGAGATTAAACTTCCCAAATTGCTCAGGTAGAGGTTTGGAGAATAAGAATTGCTGCCAACCAAATGTAAGTGGGTTCGCCAGAGTACTTGGCTTCTTTTCCAGTGCTTGAAGAAGAGAGCTGCACCACCACCATGTACACACTCCTTTTGCACAATCACAGAACCTATGCAAGATGGTCTCTCAGTGCCTGGGCAGAATGGGCATGACAAGCCTGTATTGGGATAATTTTGCCCCTCCAGTGGTTGCACATGAATGGTTCCACATAAACCAAGGGAAGACCAGGGCTCTTCAGTTAACATCGCAGACAATGTACATGAAGGACTGCACCACGACATGTGTGGCAGTTTTTATCATACTAAATTGCCAACCAGCGTCGATTCCGGTGCAAAGATCTGGAAAAGGAGTTAATTGGCGCCTAGGGAAGTTTCGCAGAACCGAGGCGAGCTTCATAAAAGTACGGGCAGCAGCACGAGGACGGAACGTGGGAAAAGCGATTTCATCCTCGACATGGGATTCTGGTCCCAATCCACCGCGTCTCCCAACGTCTTGCAAAAGGCACCTGTTTCTCATCCAGAAACAGAGGAGTTGGAACTGGAACACCACCAGATTACATGTCTCACCTGGCCTGCGAGATGAAGTCTCTCGTTTAGGAACTTCCTCACGTTCATCCGTGCACAGTACATAAATTATGTACCGAGGTGAAATCCAACGAGAATATCTGGAGCGAATCGACGAGGCGGTTTCAGAATTGTATAATAAATAACTACGTGCAGCAGCTTCGAGGTTCTGCAATCTGTAGCTTAAAATAGCACACCATGAACATAGCGCTTTTAACCACTCAGAAGAAAGTACCTCTAAGAGATGGGACTTCAAGCATCTACCCGATTTGTTTCTTTCTATATTTAGTGCACATTGTACGTGTAATATGCCTGCAGACAACATCAGGACTAATCGTTAAGAGATAAAACGAGATACACAGAAAACCCCAAACGTCATCTACTACCATTATTCCGACTTGTTAACTTAATCATCGCTGCTCAGGGAAGGTTGCAGAGAACCCCAAAGCATGAAACTCTAATGTATACTAGTCCTGAAATTCCATTCCATGAACTGTTCTTCGAACAGCTAGTTTCTATATAACAGCCAGAATAAACTTGACAAACAGCCCACTTCATAAGTCCCGCACATCAATAAACAAGAATAAGTGTGCGATACCTTTTGAACGCAACTTCAGTACGATAGATGACTCGAAAATTGAGCAAATAGATGTATGTGCATCAGAAATGCCAAGCTCAAGTGCAATCGGTAGGCAACGAACACATTGATTCATTCATGGAACGTCCCGTGTTATACAAGAAGGACCTACTGCACTCATCTTCGAAAATAGCCACTACTGCTGGCCCGATGCCCCCTTCACACAAATGTCTCTTTACATCAAAAGAAAAAAAAAAAAAAAAAAAAACCCCCGACGATGATGCACAAAATCCAACCACCCCTCCACTCCACTTCCGCCTACGCTCCGTTCAACACGTGACTCGCGTCCGCGCCCTTCTTCGCCACGCTGCTCTTCTTGCCTTCGCCCTCTTGCAGCAGCGTCCGAAGACCCCCGTCCCCACCCTCCTTCCCGGTCGCTCCTGCACCGTCCGTGCCTTCCTCCTCCTCCTCCTCCTCTTCCGCACCCACCACGTCGCCCTCGTCGTCGTTCTGCTCCTCCTCGTCTCCCTCGCCGTTCCTCTCCTCCGCCTTCGCCACGCCGTTGCCGTTGTGGTGTTCCGCGTCCTCCTTGGCCGCCACACCTTCCACAGACTCTTCTGTGCCACCGTTCTCCTCCTTCTCCAGTCTCGGCTTCTTCGCTACTTGCTCCTCGCCATGGGCCTCGCCCTCTTTGCCTTCCGGGCCCGCCTCGCTCCCATTCTGCCCGTCCACTCCCACGCCCTCCTCCGCCGACAACCCCGTCACAACTTTGGGTCCTTGCCGATCGACCTCGTCGATGCTCGCGGTTTTCAGCTGCTCATTGCCTCCCAACCCATACGCGGACTCCGCTGGCGCTGCCATTGTCGGTACGCCTCAGCACCACCACCTCTGCGCCTCGACCTCCCCCACCACGCTCTTGTCGTCCCGACCTGCTCCCAATTCCCTCCACTCCACCCTCCACCCAACCTCCAAGAAACCGGTGCACTCTCGCCCTTCCTTGGAACCGCTGTGCTGCTAAGAACAAGCAAAGCATGCATACACAGTCCCACGATGAATGGGAACCTTACTCGCACACACTCACACACGCACACAGAAGGAGAGATAGAGAAACGGGGACACAGACAGACAGACAGACAGTCTGACAGAAACGAAGAGCGGGCACGCGCGTGCTTGCACGCGTGCGTAGGAATGGGTAAGCGACTCTCACTGCAGGAAAATATGTAAAACGGGGATGCGAGAGAGAGAGAGAGAGAAACCGACGAGAGAACCTTCGGCAATGGAGGTGGTGTTGGTTATGAAGGGGGAGAGCGTGGAGAAGGAAGACGGAGAGAGCGAGAGCGAGAGAGAGCGCGGGATCCGACCCACCGTCGCTGCGGGTGTTGCAACTGCTGCGGCGCCACTTGGCGCGGCGCATGCTCCTGGGTGGGTGGGTGGGTGGCTGGCTCCGACGATCGTCGACGATCGTCGAGGATCGTGGATCCTCCTCCGCCCCCACCCATCCCTCGCGCTCCCCGTGCTCCCTCTACTACCACTTCCCTCTCCTTCCCTTCCCTCGGCGCTGCGCAGCTCGGCTCACCACTGCTCCCCCTCCTCCTCCTCCTCCTCCTCCTCGTCTGAACGCAGCCCCGGGTGAAGTGAAGCGCAGCGAGCGAGGGACAGACGGACGGACGGACGGAGGGACGGAGGGCCAGTGCAGGGAGCGAGGTCGTTCAGCAGCCATGGCTGCCGCGGCTGCGGCTGCGGCGGCTGCTATTGTTACGATGTTGATGTTGGTGATGATGATTCTGCTCTCAACCTGGCACTCTTCTGGAATCCTCCCGCTATCCCGCCCGGCACATCCCGGGCGGGAGTGCGCACGAGAGTAATGGTGCGGGGCAGGGCTGGGCAGGGGGAGGGCAGGCCTACATGGCAGTGTGGGGGCAGGGTAGTTATCCGTTTGTAATGTGGGGGTGGGTTCCGAGGAATGTGCATGGTAGTTCCGTGTGTTTGCACGTCAGCTTTTTTTTTTTTTTTTTTTTTTTTTTTTGCAGGTTTTTGGTAGCAACGGGAGTCAGTGACATTCTTCTGTGCGACTACCACATTCTTTGTTGTGCACCACTACCCCCTGTAACTCCTGTTCTAACTCTTGTTCTCTTTATCTGCTTGGCTTTGGCACTCCTCTTGGAGTTGGCTTTTTGCTTGTAATTGTTGGAACCTCTTGTTCCAACATTTTAGTGTTTGTTATTGTATTGTTTGATGATTGACATGTATATTTTCCACATACACCTTTGTTTGTTTGTAAGGAAGTTTTATGTTAGACAATCTTAAGATGTAAATTTGTGACCTATTGTTTTATAATTTTGTTGATTATGATGTTTGCAAATCTTCATGTTATTAAAACACTAGCTTTTAAATATAGCCTCGTAAGGCTGTACTTTTTTTCGTTGTTTTATAAGATGCTGTGTTAATGACTTGAATTTATTTCCTTAGAATATCATTTTCGATTTTCAATTTTCAATTTTTGTTTACAAGTAGAAATTTCTGAATATTTTTTTAAAATTTGCTATGGCATTTTGAATTTCTCCTACATTTTAAATTATTTTCTTGTTTGATACAGGCACACATTTCAGTCTGTAAATCAAAAAACCAAGTAGATTTGTAAGCTTAGATTATAACCAAAGTGAGATCACGTGTACTCTGTTAATTGTGTTTACAATATTTACCTGAAAAGCAAAGAAAAGAAAGTAATGGGAGAAAGTAAAAAGCCTACGTTTAACAATATTAGTGAATTCAGTTCATACTATGAATTGAACCATAATGAGTCTTGTTTTATACTTGAAGATAAATGGAAATCCAATTGGATTTGGTATTACAACATTTCTCTCTCTCTCTCTCTCTCTCTCTCTCTCTATATATATATATATATATATATTATTCATTTACTTCATTTCTCATTCTCTCTCTATATATATTTACATCTTGAGGTCATTTATTTACTTCATTTCTATACATATATATATATACATACATACATGGAGTTTAATATCAAAGTTTTAAAAATATTAAATGTAACATAATATTTTTAAGCAAATTATGTTGCAATATCCTATTAAATTATAACTATGTGTTATACAATCATTATCTATATTTTGTTTAAATTCATTAGAGCTAAACACAACATAAGTTATATTTTATTAAAAATAATTTTTTAATGTAAATTCATATATCTTGAAGTACTACACATAATAAATATATTCAAACAGAGATGTTTGAAAAGTATAAATTTACAATCATTAGTTTTATTATTTAATCCAATTTTTTTTCACAATCTGTACAAGTTACTAAAATTGGATTAAATAATAATTAAAAAATTAAATGTATAGTACCAAGTATCACAAGTTTTGCCAATCTTGTCTCTAAATTGTAGATTTTTTAAGAACCACAATTACACACATGCCTTGCATCCAATGAACATCTCAATTCTTTTAACCATATTTAAATAATAAAATAAGCCCCTAATCTATGAACTCATTACAACTTGTTTAATACTTGGTATAAAATTCTATTCATGTTCAAGATCTTGACTAACAATTTTTTAATTTTAACTTCACATAATACTTAAATATTACTTCACCAATCACTCCACTAATCACTTTTCATGTCGATTCCATGATCATTTTTAGTCTAAAAGTGAAAGAAGATATCATAGAAATACGATCATTCCATGAACTCACAAGCACAAGTAAATGAAGTGCATGAAAACCACATTACCCCCACAATTCGTGGGAAGATGAATATATAAGAATATTCCTCCTCCGCCCCACCTCGGAAGACACGCTAGCTCGCTTCGTATTTTCATGCGTTGGAATGTGTGCAGCGCTACTAGGACCACGTCGCGCAGTCTCCGCCTCCAGCTTCGAAGCTCGTGGCGCGAGCTAAGATTTCAGGTCTCTTACGAGTTTTTCCGGGCTGCCAAGCCCCTTCAGATTGAATTGTAAGGGTCGAGAGGAAGAGTTCTGGTTGTGGGCATCGTTGGTCGCAGCTCGTCGCCATGGCGGTCTCTTGTCGATTGCAATCGCCATTCCTATCCTCTGTCTCTTCCCCTCTATCCGCCTCAACGTCGTCAAGCAGCCACCAGAATGTGGAGCTACCGCTTGCCAGAATAGAGTCGCAAGTTCGCTGCGTTCAGCTTCCCAAAGGGTGCAGTACGAGCCGGCGACCACAATTGAGAGTATGTGCTGAATTAGGCGCAAGTAGTGAACAGGCTGTGGATCTGAATGATTCCGTGTCTGCTTCAGAGTCGGGGAAGAGCGGTGAAATTGCTGTTCAGACTGGGTAATTGGATTTGGCTGCATTTGTTGCTCTGATTTTAGGTTATGGGCTTCATTGATTGGGATGAATTTTATTTGGAAATGAGTTGAGGGGAGCATGTGCACGGATTTGTTCGAGAATTACATACAGGGAAGATCGGAGATACTTGCGACTGAATTCAGAAAGCTATGGTTGGGGAAGCGAGTCCTCCGTCAAATTAGGGCTGTAAATTGCTGTTACGCTGTTGGAACTCGCGGTTTCTGAAGGTGGGTAGTAGGAGTGGGACATGTAATGCAGAACGTGGAAGTGGCGAGAGCACAATATACGATATCAGCGCGCCGGCGGTTCTGGACCAGCAGTAGTCCTCATCCATGGGTTCGGGGGTAACTGGTAGGTGTAACGAAAAACTTCGCCTCATTGGTAAAGCCTGACTTCGTATTTCCATGTAAGACCATTGCAATGTCAAATTGGTCATTCCCAGAGCGTACACTCAGAACAAAAAAGGCGAGATTCAAAATTTTCAGAAAGTGGAGAACACGATTTTATTTTCTTTTCATTGAATCACATGTGATTCAGGATATTGTCATGGGAACAATGAAATGTCCGGCACTGGTTCTCAATCGCAATGTACCACTGAATGTCCCAGTCTAAGCGGGGTATTGCACGGCAGCACTACTTTACAATGTGTATTGTGAGGATGGTGTAGGTTTTGATCCGAATTCCAGCTTGTTTCTTATTATCCCGTGTTGATAATTTGGTGTTGTGTTTGAAATTACGTAGATATAAATTGTGTTTCTGACAGATAGAATGTTTCTGGGGAACCAAAAGATAATTATTTCATGGATTGCAAGTGGTGGTGATCAACTCTCTTTTGTTGAGATTTGGCAGTGATCACTGGCGAAAGAACATTCCATACCTGGCCAAGTCGCATCGAGTTTTTGCCATCGATCTTCTGGGGTACGGGTTTTCTGACAAGCCCAATCCACGTGACCAACCACCCAACACCTTATACTCATTTGAGACATGGGGCAGTCAAATTTTGGACTTCTTATCTGATGTCGTTAATGATCGGGCGTTCCTTATTTGCAATTCTGTTGGTGGTAATCTTCTAGACGCCTTTGCGGTTAACATATCACTGTAATCCTGCGTTCTGTCGTTTCTATTTTTGTGTCGTTTAATGCTCCACCTGTAAACTACTTTGTAGTTCCGAGGCTTGCATCTTACTGTAGATTGTTTGAGGTTTCAGGGGTAGTAGGTTTAGAAGCCTCCCTGAAAGACCCACAGAAGGTGCGAGGATTAATGTTGGTCAATGTATCGCTACGTATGTTGCACTTGAAGAAGCAGCAGTGGTATGTGCGTCCATTCGTCAAAGCACTCCAGAATGTCTTACGGTGAGCCAACTTCGTACATAACCATCATATTCTCTTCACCTCAGAAAGTTGTTTAGAGTCGAACTCTTGCTGGAGGTATTGCAGAATGTTCATGTGCGTTTTAGTTGCAGTGTTTATTCGCAATGTTAATCTTCTCGCTTTCAGTTGTAATTTGTAGCCAAGTTTGAACAATTAATCAAGGTTACTTACTGAATCTCGTTTTGCAGAACAACTACTTTGGGACAACAATTTTTCAAGTCGGTTGCCAAACCTGAAGCCGTGAAGAAGATCCTTCGTGAGGTTCGACATTTCATTACTCTTTAGGCTTCAAAGCAGTTACTAAGTTACATTTTTCACATTTAGTATTTCACCTGTGCTGCCTTGCAAGCTCTCTTGGTTACGGCCCGAGCGTGTTGATCTCCACGCTCACCCACGAGTAATATCGGGTGGAGGTGTATGGAGAAAGCCTGCTCCTTGTGTTTGTGAATGTGTGTGCATGTTTAGAGAGACTTAAAAGTAATTTGAGGTTAAAGAAATCTAATTTGAGTCAATTATTGAATAGCTGAATGAAAAGAGTTGTGCAACTATTATCATCTGTGAGTGAGCGTGAGGTTAGTTCTTCCCAGATTTAGTTTCCAACTCTTTGTGCTTATTTAAGGTGTGCTCGGGCACAATAATATTGCACTTGTGGAGTGCAGTGTTATCACGATGACAGCGCTGTCACGGATGAGTTAGTAGAAAAAATCCTGACACCGGGACTTCAACCAGGAGCAGTCGATGTCTTCTTAGATTTCATCTGCTATTCTGGTGGCCCTCTTCCTGAAGAAATGCTACCTCAAGTGAAGGTGAACATCAACTCCAGTTTTCCAATATTATTAAGAGCGGTTTTCTCTTCACAGTGGAGAGGTTAAATTTTAGTCTGCTGTTTAAAAATGCGCTAAGCATGTCAGGTTTACTAATGCTAATCGCAGGTGATATTCTGTCACTTGGAGCAACAATAATCCGTGTTGGATTCCGAATATATTTACTAACCCGCATTATAATTCTCTATTTTCTCATGTAGTCCGTAACGTTTAGTCAGCTTGAGAATATTCAGAGCCTATGCCTTCTCTTCGGTATCACTTACCTGGAGGGGGTAATCATTGATCTTGGGTGTCGAAGACCTAGGTAGCTTTCTCCATTTTACTTCGAAACGGGTGATTATAGCAACTCTCTGCGGATGGCATGCATGTCATAATCCGCGGTTGCTGGATCTAACATTTCCATGACCTCCACCATCGTGACACTAAACTGGAAACCTTAACCGTCAGTTATTGGATAACTATATTAGTCCGTAATGCCCAATTATTTTGGCTTATCTTAGGGGTGTCTGTCTTCGAAGTAAAGTCTTCAGTGTTGATGATGTGCAGGTCCCGGTGGTGATTGCATGGGGAGAAAAGGATCCTTGGGAACCAATTGCTTTGGGGAAGGCTTACGGTGAGTTCGACACAGTGGAGGACTTCATTGTACTTCCCAACGTCGGACATTGCCCACAGGTTCAATACCCTCGTTTTCCCAACCTCTTTATTCAAAAAGACAATTTTAAAAGATTTCTTTTGGTTTTCGCAAGTATTATGTTTGGAGAACATGAGCCTGAATTCTGAAGTTGTATTGCATTTTATGGAAGGGGACTGTGGAGTGTTGAAGGAGAGAGTAAAACAGGCTCTCAAAAAGCAGCACTAGCGCATCTTCAAATGCTAGTGTTGATTATGGAAAATTGCACACATGTACATCTCCTCACCTTGAATGAATGGTGACGCAGGATGAAGCTCCTCATCTGGTGAACCCGCTAATAGAGAAGTTTGTAGCTCGTCATTCAGGAGCGTAACTCACAGATTGAGTGCGTGGTTCGGAGTTGCATCTTTGTTGTGCGATCCTTCATTTAGTCGGTTCCAGCATGATAATTTCCGTGCTCATCGTGTATCCTACAGATTCTTCGTCTGACATTCTTTAACTCAACGAAATACCTGTATCACAAACCTTTGATTGCCTTCGCGTAGGAATTTTCTTCCTTTATTATTGATCTCAAACCTTGGAAACGAGTGCATTTGCATTGAGCTAATGCTGAATGTATTGAGTGAATGTTCCTCTATTGTGAAACTTGTAACATTATGACAATCAATGCATTGAATCAAAGTAATAATTTTAATCTGTTTTGTCTATATTTTATGTACGTTTTATTTATTTATTTATCTTCCTTTTTATGTTTACGGAATAGTAGTACTCATTTGTTTTGTGGATGGAAAAATGTTTCAACAATGATGCATTTAGTCTACAAACGGTAATGGCCATGATTGAATTTCAGGAACTTTTTCATGCATGTAGTTAAGGGTTCATAGTTATTTTATTCAATAGAGTTGTAAGATAAGAGATCGGGAAAGTACTGACACATAGATAATTCAGGAATAAGTTTTTCTACGTATAGTGTTTGTTATTTTGAGTGTTACATACTTTCTATAATAGATGTAGATGATCTACTTGAATATGCAGACGTCCGCGAGTGATTCATAATCAATTTATAGTGTCAGTTTTCATCGAATTTGTTAGCAAATATAGTGTTAATGAACGGAAACTGCAGAAATGTAATTAAATTATACCAGAAATTATTTGCAGTACTGAGCTTAAGGTGATTGTCTCTTTACTCATTATTATTGATCAAGAAGAAGCATGTTTACTGTAGGTGACTGCGGCGTCAATGTAAACAGCAACTACCCATTTCACAAGTGTGCGATTCTATCTATCTGCCTAATAAATGTGACAGGGAATTTTTCCAAAATCTCTCCACACAAGAACTCGGGAAGAGAATCAGCCTTTGCAATTAATTTGAGCAGAAGAGAAGAATCTTCTGAAATGAAAAATGCTTCAAAGCAATGAATATTAGACGGATGGTGTGGGCGGGGGACTACGGTCCTCACCACCAAGAATGTGCAAATTGTTTAGCAATAACAAAATTATGTGTATCCACAGGTTTAGAGACTGTATGCACTATCTATAATCTAGACTCGATCCACATAACCATATACTCTCTGTTCCGAAGGAATTGGTAAACTGATCAGCTTTGCGGCAACCAGGACAGGAATTAATCCATTGGTGACCAGGGATTAATCGCATGCTGACCGCACTCAACGTCGTTGATTTGGTATCAGGATATGTTGCATTCAACTGTCCAGAGAAGCGGTGTTCAAGAGCTCCATAGCCGAAGCGCCGTAAGCTTGCATTTGTGAGCGAGTATACACAGGTTGAGGGTATATAAGAGAGATGGAAAGGTTGTTGCCCTCGCAGAAGGCCTCGCTGACTGCAAAGCAAGGACCAACTCCGTGCATTGAGGGGAATGGTCCAGCCACCGCAGCCACCTGCAATCTCTGGTACTCCTTGTAAAGTTGCAACGGAGCTTCGTCCACAAACAAGGAGAATAGTGCAGTTCGCATGGACGATTGCGGAGTCAAATTGGGATGCTTCAGCACCTGCACATCATGAAAACAGTTCTTAGACGCATTTATTTGATGAGAAGAATCCTTTGTGGTGAAATATCCATTCTCAGTGTGCGGAGCAGATAAGAGTCTGGTCAAACCTGAGAGAAGAGCATGTTAAGAACAGGGATCTCCGAAAACTGTTTGCTCTTAGACAGCTCTTTGGCAGTGGAAGCTGACACGCTTCGCGCTAGGTCCCAAAAAGAGACCCCTTCTTTTACCTGTTGACCTTGAGGAACACCAGCCACAAAGTTGCCTATTGTATCGGCGGAAAGACTTGGCTCGAAGTACTTCCGACAATCTACCAAACTGCGCAAGATCATTTCGTGTTATGAAGACGCATGGAGGCAACCTACATTAACAACCCTAATCAAGTACAAGCATGTGCTTATTATCGGCTTTTGCCACTCTGTTAAGAGAATCTTCAACATGCGTTTGAAGAAAAATGCGATTAAAATTACATATTATTGATAGAGGAGCTGAACTCCTAACGCACACACCTTGTGAAGGAGAATTCGTCCTTTTTCTTGTCCTTGAGCTCTTTCACGTTCGCTGCTGTCTTCAAAAAGGCTGCGCCCAGTGCTGCTGCCAGAGTTGTCTTCTCCTTTTTGCATGCTTCGAGAAGTCTCGCAGTTTCTAGTCAAAAGAGAGAAATAAATAACTAGATGTGGCCATTGCATAAAGTTTTAGGCTGCACACATGGAAGCTAATACAGGTAACATACGGACGAGCCACGGTAGAAACGTCCAGGCACAGAATCACTGAAGCTTTTAACAAAATAGTGTAACATACCTACTGTACCGAGGGAGTATGTCAAGATATCGGACTTGAACTTTTCCTTCTTCTGCTCGCCAAAGCTAGGCTGGAATGGCAGGAGAGTGTACTTGTTCGCACTCAAGGCGTAGCCCACTGTGTCGAAACCTTTCTGGAAAATGTTCTTGGACGATTTTCCCTTCGGCACCAGTTCTTCAATTGTCGGCAAGATAGCATCCTTGCCGTGATTTAGTGGAAGACCAACCGTTTGACCATCAACAATGGCATTCAGTGCGGTCAAGAATTGACGCGAAGCTATGTAAGCAGATGGCCTGTCAAGACCTCCACTGTGGAACCGCAACACTATAATGGTATGTGAACGGGATGTCTCGGTGTACATGTGAACCTGCCAAGCGTAAGATATCAGCAGCAATTTCACCGTCTTACAAGACAAACATCACCTCATCAGAGTAACAACACCCAACACAATATCAGGATCCACTCAGCAACGAGTAAGGCGACTCTGAAGTGCAGTGTGCTTACTTGAAAAAAGTCCAAAGGAGGACTAGGGTTGTTTTCAGAGTTCACGAAAGGGATATTGAGCTCATCGCGAACCACTTTGTTGACAGCGTCAGCGAGACCATCATCGTCACCCTCAATGGTTACATCACCCGCTTCACAGCTGGAGGAAGTCTGAGGCCAAGGGCAAATCTCTAGACAAGGTGCGACCGAGTCATTCTTCACGAGAATCGCGAGCTTTCCCTTTGCGTTTTCGACTGCCTGGGCCCTCAGCATTGCGTGCTGATACATGACCTCACGACATGCTTGAGCAACATGGTGCGACTCCACCAAACGCCGCATCGCAATAGTCATCACAGCTATTCCAGTTCCTAGTGCTGTGGCCTTGGTCCAGTTTTCTTCTGATGGACCCATCACTCTAGTGAGAGCATCTCCATTTGGAGCTTCTGGCGCCATGGCCCTCTGATGAGCTCAAACTCCCGGTTTTTATGTATCACCTGCAATGCGACGCGAAGCTTAAGAATACTGTTGTAGAACGCTATTATAGACATCGAGCTACTCCATTAATCCTCTGCACTCTCAGCATTCAAGGTACCTTAACTCAAAGGCATCCTAGTTGCAATAGAGTAAAGCTTCAAAAACATATCTCATGACGCATCATTTCCAGGTTCAAGACAAGAAGGTGTTTATCGAAGCCACGGAGTATCACAAAACTCAGACGGACTTAACGCCCAATAGAAAGCTACCCGAACCAAAAATTAAAAACAGGTGGATCCGAAGGCACTGGTCCAGTGAAGAGCTATGTACAGTTGCGTGAGATAAAATGGAATACCTCCGATGCTACTGATTCAGCTATTTCAGCTGGTTTGAACTAGCTGCAGCACACAACCAGACTCACACCGAACTACTCCACCGTAGCGTCAGCGGCGACGCAAGCATGGAGAATACAACCCTAGTCTCACGACGCCCACCACGGAGAGGACGACGAGCCTCAACCCTGCAAAGGTCAACGTACCACAGCACTATCAACCCACCAACCGGCACATAATCACCTCACCTCATCTGGCCAGCCCTGCACCCCTAATAGCTTCATCTCCCAGTCGGACACCACCTGAGTAGAAACTGACATGTACCGAAGTGTACATTTATACAAACATAGACATTCACACACACACTCACATACACATTACATTTCTCTCGAGACATGCAGCAGAATCCAGCTAGCCCAGCTCTCGACTCCTCCTCACTACAACGCCACTTGACCCATCACTCTCCCGCAGTCCACGACACAACCAACATCGGTATACAAATCCCTAGCAGATTCAAAATCACTGCAATCAAGCCGCACCGCCAGTACACATTCTGAGACGAAATCCATCAGCAGCCTCAAGTGGCACCCTGTCGATACAAGAGCCGGAAAAAAAAAAAACGACAGGTGTGGGACGAGTTAGTTTACCGGCGAAGGAAGGGCAGCAACCTGGCAACCTGGACGTGTACAGCACCAGCCTGAACGTGGAACAGCAGCTGCAGACATGGGTAGATGGAAGGTGGAGGAATGAGAAGTGGAACCAGCAGTGACTGCAAGGGCCGCTGCCGCTGATCGTTTATATGGGAGACTGGTGATGGCGGTGGAAATCGGACGCGGTGCGTGAATCTTTACTGCAGCACTACCTAACGCGGTGGCAGAACCATTAAGTACGCTGTGAGAGAGTGGGTAGCGCGCATTAACTAAGCCGGCTCTTCATTCTTCCCCCTTCTGTAAAGCTCTTCACACCATACCCATAACCACACTGACGTCTCTCTGCCCACCACCTCCCTGCCCTGCCTGCCTCTCTCCATGGCTGCACATCAACGCTTCACCCTTAACGTGCTGCCGCGATGCGGTACCTACCGTGACCTGAGCTTGAGCCTGAGCGTGAGCCTGCACACTAGTCACGGAGCTCATGGTGCCCCACTCGCCCTCGATGTTGTTCTTGTTGTGTTATTCTTCGTCTTATTCAAACAATGTGGGTTTGTTGTTGTTGTTGTTGTTGTTGCTGTTGATGCCTGCCTCATTCTGGAATCAGTGCATAGTGTTGCAAGTGATGGCAGGCAGCTTGTTGATGTTGTTGTTTTGACACGAGATTGGATTCCATGAAGGGTTGGTTGACAGCGTTGTTGGAATGCTGTGAGATGTCATGGTGTCTATGTCGAGGTGAATTTATATTACAAAACACACTGACAACTTCATGACGTTTTTGTTTTTGGAGAGGGTTTTTATTACGTTAAGAATTGTGTAGGAATGGTTTTGGTAGAGAGAAAATTAGGAGTAAATGAGTGTGACATCTTTTAGTTTGTTTTAGTTGGATATCAAATTTATAAGTATCTGTAGTGGTTTGAAATGTTTTGAGCTATGTTTATTCGATTTCTATCAGATGTATTACAAGTTTAGTTATAGAAACTTGTGAATTTTGTAACAAATTCTATTAATATTGATGCCTAAGGGCTTAAAAAATTGCATCAGATGGAAAGATTCGAAGCTTTTATAGCGAGGTAACATGACTCATGCATACGAGTTAAACAATAAATTAATTTTTAATATGAACTTTCATATTTTTAGCTTTCAGAAATCTGTAAACATTAGTTTGGCATTCTTTTGTAACATTTAAAGCAATTAGGCACAAAAAGAGTTAATTTGTTGGCAATCTACATCTTGTAGACATCCAATATTTTCCAATAAATTTCGTAATGCTATTCTTAAATCTAAAACCTCTACAACATCAATTTTTATTTATTTTTGTGACAAATAAACAATAAATAATGAAATTTTAAAAAAATCTCATTTAGCTACTAAACACAATTTATCTTTAATAACATTTTGCAACAAATAGTTTTCATTCAAAATTATTCAATGTTGATAGCGTAGAATCTTTTTTATTGTTACATGAGTGTTTTTAAAAATTTGATCACTAATCATAACAAATCTCAAGTAAAAATAATGATTCGTTCTATATAATTAAGAATAAAATTAAACTAATAACATATAATTCATTAAAGATACTTTTGATCCAGACTCATCATAATCATTCCTTGAGTCTCTCATAAAATGGCAGAATTGTTTAGAAGCACCAATCAGTAACAGAACAATATATCTTAAAAATGTTATGATTAATTTTTTTTCTTATTTATCTTAATTTTTAAAAAATAAAGGTAACCATCTTAAATAAATGCATATTATATAGATACAAATAAAAATTCATCATTTATTTTTTTCTTTAATAAATTAAGAGATAAAGTATTTAAGATGTTTCATAAAATTTATAATAATATATTTTTATTAAAATTTAAAATTTTTAAAACACCATAGATCTCAAAAAAATTATGCATATAAAAATCAAGAATGATTCGTTGTATACTTTATTGAAGAGTTTATAATTTAGAATTTAAATTATCTCTAATAGAGATTGTTGTGAAGTAATTTTAAAGTACACTATAATTATAAATCGGTCATATATCATAAATCATATATATATATATATATATATATAAAGATAAATATAAGTTAAAATTATTATTAGATATAAATATTAAAATAAAGCAACAATTTCAAGTTGCATGACAATAAAGTACACATGTATGAATTAATGTTTGTTGCACTAACATATTTAGTATTTTCGTTTTTTCAACATCATAAAGTATTAATAATTTGTATAAATGTTTTATGCATTGCATTAAGATAGAAAGAAAGCTTAGTGGGATAAAGAAAATTCTTTAAAAGGCTAGGACTCTATGTATATTTCAAGAAAAGCCTTTGTAAAATTGAACTTGATCTGGCAAGTATAATATAAAAGTGTGCATATTTTGTTTTTTGTTTTTTTTTTTTTTTTGTTTTTTTTTTTTTTTCTAAATTTTCTTTCTAATTATTATTATTTATACATGTGATTATTTATTTATTTTTTGATTCTATGTGTATTTTATTTTTCATTGTTTCATTCAATATTTTTGTGGTATTGATGAAATATAATAGTATTACTTTGATTTCATTATTTCAAAAACATAATTATTCAATTATATAATTATTAAAATTATCTTGAAATTTCAAACATAATAATAAAATATGACAGTGAAATTCTTTATTAAATTTTTATTTGTATTATACTATATATTATAACACATCCTTAATTTTCTTTAATATATTATTCATAAAAAAAAGGTCTTCAATACTTGTATGTATATATATGTGTTTATATGTATTTATATTTAGTTTTAAAATATCCTTATTTAGGTATTATAATTCAAAATATTTATAAATTAAATACGTAGTTTGATATATAATCTAAATTAACTAAACAAAAAGAATTAGTATCAATGAATTATATTCATTGTTTTATTTCTACCAAAGCCCTACAATTAAGAAGTAAAAAAATTATTGTTCATATCTCTAGTTCTTTGAAAGTCCTTAATCATTAAAGAAAAAGAATCTTATTGGTCAACATGTAATTCAAAATAAAAAGAAATTTATTCTTGTCAACTTGATGGATATTTGTAATAATTCAAATTGATGAATTGTTAATAATTTGACTAAATGAGGACGCATTGCTAATAATTTTAAAAGTAAATAAATATTATAAATGATTCATATTATATAAAATATTTTTTCATAATAAAAAATCATGTTAAATAATTATTTAAAAAAATCCTTAAAATCATGCTTAATATTCAGTTAAAGAATGCAGAAATATAATTATTTGTAATAAAATTAGTTCTTAAGAACCAAATTTAAAGATTGTTAACTAGCATGGTAAACCAAGTCCAAACATTGAAAGGTAGATTAGAAATACTCACCAAAGTAAGTGTAGAATAGATATTAATTCGTTTTTGAAAGATATTGGTAAAATATATTAATAGTCCATATAATAGGAAATTCAAGAGGATGGATGAGTGATTTAGTTCTTAAAAGTAGTTAATTATAGAATTACGGTTAGAATCTAGAGAATCAGGAGAAAGTATATAGGAGTTGTAGAAGTTAATTAAGATGCCAAACTGTGAGAGTCGTAAGCCGAGTGCCAGACTGTGATAGTCATGAGCCGAGGACCATCACTGTGATAGTGTGAACCGGGGTAAGCTTGGTGCTACCTCTTTTCTTTTGTTTGTTATTTTCTTTGAATAAGAGGATTGAAAGTTTCTGAATATTGTGAAGTGAATTATGGAATGGAAATGTGATTGGTATTATTTGAAAAGAAGAAAGATTGAATGCTGAAATCTGATTGTAGTTCAGCAGAGAGAATGAGTCTGTGTTTGTGTGAAACATTGTAATGTGAATGGCAATTCTGTGTGAAGAATTCTAGTGATTGGAATGAGGGTAATTGTCTGCTGAAAGTTGTGAGGGTGCAGTATTACAGTTGGAGATTATCAGGGTGAATATATTGGTAGAAATAGCAGTTATTGGTATGACTGAATTGCTGTAAGGAAGAGACTGATAAGGTGAAGGAGGAGATTATAGTTTCTTTGTGTGTTCAGATATTAGAAGTAGAGATGATACATTCAGGAGGTAATTGATTGTATGACCCTAACGTGAACGCTTAAGCAACTAGTCATTTCCCGTGTTCAAATCTCCCTATACGGATTTATTCTAGGAGGTTTCTTTCAAAATAAGTAAAACAAGCAATCACATTTTGGCGCCACTACTGGAGAGTGATAATAGCTTTGAGTGTTAGGAATTAATTACCAAACGTGTGAGAAAATTGGCAATGGAAGATGATTTCAGTAGTGTTTGAAGCAAGATTATGGTTAATAAGAACGAGAGCATTGCATCAAGGAAAATAAATCAGTTGAGAGAAAGACAGGGAAGAGCACAAGGAAGGAACTTGCTTAGAGAGGAGCAAGAACATAATCTTAAAAGGAAGCATGGACATAATTGGATTAAATCATAGTTACAAGCTTGTCAGCGTATCCAAAGATATCAAGAACCGGACAGACTGTTAATTCTACAATCGTATGTACTATTAGAAAAACTACCAAGAACACTTGCGAGAAATTTTGTTAACATTTCAGTGGAAATCTTGAGGCCGTTAACTGAAAGAGAAGGAGGCGTAGAAGAATTTGGTACTCCATTGGGTATTTTTTTAGTAGGGGGTACCGCTGAAACGAGTAATAGTGGCTCTTCAGATTGGCACAAATTGGTCGCCAATAAAGATAACTATGTTGTATTTCAAAATCTGACGTTTTCACCTGCAATTCAACCAATAAAACTATTTGCAAAAAATAACAGTAAATCGAGGAGCACTGAGAGCTCAAAAATTAGAATAAGGGAAAGAAGAGATTATTTTAAAATGGAGTTTAGCGGAACAAGAAATTCAATGGCGTCAGGAGGACCAGCTGTTCCGATTGCAGTACAAATGGGTGCAGTAGGTGATCGTACAACTAGTGTCGCGCCATTACCTACTTTTTGGGGTTTGTCAGGTACAGATTTATATCAACATTTGTCTCAATTCTTGATGGCGTGTGTAGCCAATAATGGAAGAACAGAAGACATTTGGTTAAGATGGCTGCCAGCGACATTGAAAGACACAGCGTTTGATTGATATAACCGCCAACCTGTGGGACAATTTATCAATTGGGAGGCATTGAAAA